TTTCAGTTAGAGAAATGTAGCTTCACTTTTACAGACAGGCTGGTGTTGACATTTCTGGATTTTCTTGTGACAAGTAGCACTGAGAAGCCTTGCAGAGGAAAGGTGCTGTACTCTTCTATTGATTGCACACCTACTATGTGCCATGTGCTACCAGCCATCAGAGATGAAAGCTCACCGCATGTTCTCAAAGAATGTTGTCACAAAACTCACCCGGTGCCTTGAGGGTAGGGAAGGACAGTTTGCCTTTCCCCCTAGCATAATCAAATACCTTGCTCTTGTGTTACACATTCAAATGAGGTAAACATACCACCTACGAGATATGAACTCAAGATTTTGTGAATTATGAAATGGTTGGAAAATAAGATCTTAGCTGCACTGTCTTCGGTAGGATGGGGAACAGGTGTTCCTTGTTGGGGGGGTGAGGGGGAGAGTTGGTTGACTCAGTTTACCATCGCGTCACCTTCCCACTTCAACTTGCATCTTATTTTTCAATTCCTAATCGTTGCCATTTTCCTTTGAATCTTATGTCTTCTCAGAGAAGCAAGGAGGGTATTCCTGTAAAATTGCAACTACAAGTAACTGCGACTCCCACGGTTTCTTTTTGTTTATACTTAGTTTTAGTCACAGCTGCCTTGCTGTTCCACTTACTCATTAGCTATTATAACTCCTGGCGCTTTTTCTTCCCTCTAAGTTAGTCTCTCTTTTGATTTCAGAGTCTGAATGCATGTCTGTCTGTCTATCTGATGAGAAGGTAGCAAGTTCACCTTTCACGGATGATTTGCCACATGTCTGCAGTGAAAAGTAGATGTGTGTACATGTTTGTATATATACATGCATATGTATCTCTATTATCTACCAAAATATCATCTATATCTACCTACATATTTATTATCTATCTATCTATTTATCTATCTATCTATCTATTCATCTGTCATCTATCTACATACCTACCTACCTATAGCTTTTCTATCTATTCTGCCATTAGTTAGGATTTGTAAACAAATCAATTTGGGTCACAGACAAACATTTTCTAAATATATTCTTAATGTTTTTGAAAACTGAAGGCCTGTACTTTTCACTGCAGCCATTTGTGGCGAATCTTCTGTGAAAGGTGAACTTGCTACATTCTCTTCATTTGTTTAAAAAAGAGAAAGGAAAACGCTTTGCAGAGATACTGTGGATAAAAGGAATTAGGTTGCTCAATTATTTTTGTGTAATTAGTACTGATTTCACTGAAGTTGACCCTGCTCCATTTATTAGAGAACTAAGACAGTGAACTCTCAGGGATATTGCAGTACACACAAAACACAATCAATAAAGTAATGCTTGAAGACTGTAGGATATACAGATTATTCTGGGAATTCATTAACTTGTAAACATCAAGATTATGTTTTTCAAAAAAAAAATCGTTGTTCAAACAAAAAAAAAACTTGACACAAAGAGGAAGAGAAACACCAAAATGATAAAAATCTAGCAAAAAAGGTATAACAGCTACTTTTGTGTTTTATGTCCTAATTTGGCCAAATGTTGTTTTGTTTTGTTTTTTGGACTACAAGTGGCTATCTGTATCTCTTTCTTTTAATATAGTAGGGTAATGACAAGGATTTAAATTAATAAATGTTGAGGAATTGTACATATTTGTCTCATTGACATACTTTTAGTTTCTTTAAAAATAACTGCAATATTTGTAACTGCTACATAATTTTTAAATGAAGGAATGAGCTTTGGAAATAATGATGCTTCAGGGCTGGTTTTGTTCCAAGTATGGCAGACCCCATGTCTTGCTCCTCCACCCCAGTTCTCGTTAATAACAAAATGTATAGCAAATACTTTTTTTTTTTTTAAAAGTCATTCACTTTTCAGAATTACCCTCTGAAAGCAGAGATAGAAAGAGGTTAGTGACCACTTTCTTCCCACTGGTGAACTGATAAAGTCAGGCTAAGCCACGTGGACATGATGAACGTTATCACGAAGCCCATGTTCTCGAAAATAACCAAACCAAACTCACCCCCACATGGATTAAAATGTCTGTCTATGGGAAGACTGCTTTGGCCCTACTTTCTAGAACTCTGATAAAATCCAGAGATCTTATATTCATTGGTGATATCCAAGTGTGTCTGTGCCATTTTCAAAGGGAACTTCCCCCTTCTTGGTTTCACTCTCATCATTAATAACACTTTAAAACTATGCCTGTCTTTCAAGACAAAGCTGTCAAATAATATCTTCTTAATATCCTCTCCATGATGCACTGTGATCAGAATTATTCTACCACTGGTTGTTAGTAGCATTGGCCAACAGGAATATAAAACCGTGCATGTCTTTCAAGTTCCCCTTGTAAGAAGTGTTTTATTATTGTAAGCTAGCAGAAGTATTACCATCAGCCCAGTCCTGGATAGGCCAACAGAGAGATGAGCGCTACTTTGAAGGACAAACTCTTATTTTTATTGCCTGTGTAGTCTCAGCACCTCAAAAGCTGATACTTCATTCCCCTGTGAGAGACCCTCTTAGCAAGAGAAAAATGTGATTATGTGCCATGCGAGGAAATCCAGTTTAGGGTTAGGTGTGATGGAGACAGATTCATTTCTTTTGCTGAATCCCACCCTCTGAGTGACAGGAGGTAGACACAGGAGCTGTCAAGAAGGAGTCCTGTTGGCACAAGTGTTTAGGATGCTATTTAATACAGCAGAGAGCCGAGATACAGTAGAAGGACACAGGAAAGAAGGTGGAGTGTGTAGATACAATAAAGAATTTGAGTTTATGGACTGCCAGTTGTTATTAGGAAGAGTAATAAGTCAGGGAAATAAATGACTTTCAGTTTCCATACATGCACAGGTAAGTTAGTTATTACAAAAGTTTTGCTGTTGTATGTGCTGAAAGAAAGCATATGCATGTAAACATTTTTTAAAAATAATTCACTCCGTAGGCTTAAGAAAAATACTCTAGTTCTTATTTCATTGATCTGACCTTTTGATTCAAGATCAGGGCATGAATCCGGGATGAAAACAAAAAAATAAATAAATAAATAAATAAATAAATAAACCAAAACAAAAATGAATCATTTACCATGAAAAAGGCATTTCCAGTCTCTGCTAACCTTGACTAGCTTTTATTGCATTTTTTTTTGGGGGGGGGGAAATGCCTAGAAATTGGCTTTGGCCATAATATTTGCTGTTCAACTCAATCACAGCTGTCAGTGGGCAATCGCTTGTGACCATTAGTTAAACCCCATTATTGGACAAATTCCCTGGAGGGGACATAGATGCTGGAGGGGTGCAGTGCCTAAGGAACCAGGTAGCCATCCGTCAGGCTGGGGCTGCAGCAAAGCAGAACAGCTTGTAAATCCTTGCCCAAGGAAGAGCTTTCAAACAGTCTTAATTGGAAAAATATGTTTGTCCTGATCCTTTCAGTCCTGTCTGGTGCTCAGGGATGAATTGTAGGACTGGCTGAAGAGAAGGAAAAAGCCACCAACTTGAGATTCTTTTTTTTAAGGAGATCAGGGGTGGAGGAAGAAAAATAGAAATGCAAAGGTGAAGTGGCAAAGGTCTACAAGATGGAGAAAGGAAATCTCAGGGAGCCTGCTAGCAATTTCCACCAAAGCAGCCCCTTACCTGACAGAAATTCAGTACAAAATACACACTGATTAACAACTCCACCATGACCAGGATGGCCGCTTAGAAGCCAAATAATAACAGTAATAATAACTACAATCTTCAAAAAACAGAATTCTCATAAGATTCGAGAAAAATAGAGTGAAAAGGCAATGTTAGCTAAGCTCTTAGCTAAATCCACTCTTAATGGCCCCCAGTATTTAAACTGTCATGGATTAAAGCCATGAAAATAAAAATTTCAATTTGAAATTTTATTAGCATGTTGCTAAAATGGTCAATAAAAACATCAACACGGTAGGTTTTGTTGACATAGTTGGAAATCTGCTCTTTCATTTTTAAAACTTTATTTCCACTTCCCCACCTTCTCAGATTTCTATGTTAGGAAAAGCCAAACTCAACAGACTGGCTATGGTGTTGCAATAATGCTGGTCTCTGCAGTGCTGCCATGTCTTTCTCCTCCAACCCCTGAACCCCTTGTGACTTAACCAATGTGACTTTTTTTTTTTTTTTTAATAAATGCAGCCCAAGAAGGGAGCAATCTAGGGTTAAGAACAGCAAGCGCCTTTCAGTACAAATTCAAGTTCCCAGACGCCAGGTGAACTTTCTGCGCTCCGGGCCAGGCTGGCTCTGAACCAAAATCGTCTGCGCCATTTTCCTCCTGGGACCTGGAGGGCTTTCCTGCTGCCAGGAGGGAGGCTCCCGGGCAGAAGCGGGTGCGGGGAGCGTTTGCTCCCCTGGGTAGAAAGACCGGGAAGCAAAGAGTATCTGGCTTAGCCGGGGCCTGGAATGCGCTGTGGAGAGACCTGGGGCTGGAGAGCTGCAGAGTCCCGGGAGCCCCATGCGCTCTCTTGTGGAATCACTCACAAGCGTCTAAGGGGCAGCTCGGTTTCCTGGAAATCCTGCGATCTGGGGACCCATCCGAACAGGGGCTCACCTGCGCCCTGACAAGCTCAATTCTCACCTCGGCTCGGCCCGTGGATGCCGGCTGGCGCGGGGGTGACGGCCCGGTTCTAGACCAGGGGAGGTTCTCTGTCCGCTGACGGTCTCGGAGCAGGGACTTGGGGAGGCCGCGTCCCTGCTCCCCATGCGCATCTCCTTCCCCCCTTAACACTCAAGGGGGCGGCGCTCGCTGGGTCTCCCAACACCCAGGCCAGCCCCGGGGGGCTCGGCCCGGCGCGCGCAGCTGCCTGCGGTCGGGGAGCCAGTTCCTGAGACCTCCAGTCCCTGGCCGGCGGGGTGCGGGGTGCGGGGTGCAGCCCCGGCCCTGGCCGCGCCGGCGGCCGCGCGCGGGGGCGTGAGGGGCAGAGTGGCCGCCGGGGCGGCCCGGGCGCGGGCAGGGCGCGGGCGCGGGGCGGGCGCGGGGCGGCCGGCGGGCTGCGGCCCCGGGGCGGCGGCTACTCCTTGTCGTCCACCAGGTCGAGGTCGGCGAGCTCCTGGAGCACGCGCAGGCGGCCGCTGGCGTCGATGCGGCGCTTCTCGCGGATGAGGTCCTCCAGGCTGTGGAAGCGGGCCGTGTGCACCTTGTTCTCCCCCAGGTGCACCTTGAGATAGTACTGCTGCTGCGGGGGCTGCGTGCCCGCCGGCACCTCCCCGCCCGCCTTGAACTCCCGCTTGCCGAAGCGGCACCAGGCGGCGAAGCTCTCCGAGTTCGTCCAGCAGATCTCCTCGCTCTTGAGGCCCAGGTGGCCGCAGGCGTTCTGCACCACCAGCTCGGCCAGCAGCGGGCGGTAGCGGTACCAGCTATTCACCACCCGGCCCACGTTGGCCGCGCCCGCCTCGTACAGGCTGTCCTGGCGGATCTCGCCCTGGTGCAGGTGGATGATCTGCCCGCCGCCCACGTAGACGGCCCAGTGCGGGGCGGGCGCTGGCGGCTCCGGCGCGGGCTGCAGCCACAGCAGCTCCAGCAGGTCTCCGGGCGCGCAGAGGGTCGGCAGCGCGGTGACCGCGTAGACGCTCAGGTCGGCGCCCTGCGGGCCGCCGCTCACTTTGGAGAAGATGCATTCCTGGCCTCGGAAGGCTGAGAACTGAGTCTCGTTGAGGACCAGCTGGTGCAGCAGGTGGTGGTGGTGGCGGCCGGGGCTCTCCGGGCAGGGCGCGCAGCCCGGCGGGGCCTTCACGCCAAACTTGTCGGGCTGGCCGCGCTCGTCCAGGTCCTCCTCCTCATCCGAGAAGAAGTAGGCGACCCCGACCCGCAGCTCGTCCTTCTCGATCCCCGACGGGTCCCCGGTGGGCAGCTCGCTGTAGTTGAGGTGGGTGATGCGGTCCAGTTGGTTGCCCATCAATGATGCGGCGCGGCGAGGGCCTGGAGCGGGGATCTGCGGGCGCAGCGGCACAAACACCATCAGAATCTCGCTCCGCTCCCAGGACGCGCGCTGCCCCCGGGACACCCCCAGCCCCACCCCCGCCGGCCCAGGAGCCCGCGCTGGAGTGGCCTGCGCCCGCCGACAGCCCCCCCCCGGCTCCCCGAGGCTCCCCGGGGCCCGAGGCGCGCAGGAGCCGCCAGCCCGGGGGGCGCGAGCGGACGCCCAAAGACTCCGATGCTCTCCGAGCCCCGCGTCCAACTCCCGAAGGGGGGTCGCCGGCGGCGGGAGGGCTCGCGGGGTCCCGGCGGGACGCACCCGCGGCGCGCGCTGTGGCGGCTTGGAAGAAGGGCCCCCAGAAGAGACGGAGGGGTGCTCTGGGGGGAAGAAGCGACGCCGGAGGCCCAGAATTTCGCGAGCTGGGCTCCCGTTCCTGTCCCCGCTGGCGCCAGCCCACCCCGGGTTCTGCACTGGGGCGCACTCCTCGCCGAGGCGCAGCTTCTCACAAAGACAGCCGGGCGCGTTCGCGGGCGCTCGCTGGCACCCGCGAATCTTTGCACACTTGTCCAGACACAGACAGGCCGGTGCACCGGTGTAACAATGTCACACACACACCACGACACCCCCTCGCCACGACACGCTCAGCACCCGCGCTCGAGCCGGATCGCGGCCCCGCGCCTCGGCGCTCCCAGGTAGGGACACCCGCGCGCCCGGCACACCTGCCCACGCGGCAGGTGCGCTCTGCCCGGGGCTTCTCCTGCCTCGCCCCAGCGGGGCCGCCGGCCGGCTGCGTGAGGGCGAGGCTGCTCTGTCTAAAACAACCGAACAAAGAGGCCGGGAGGCAAGGGAAGGCTGGGGGAGCCGTGCGGGGTGTGGGGCGAGGTGTGGGCGCGTGGGGAGGTCCACTGTCAACCCGAAGACCCCGCTCCCTCCTACCCGGCGTAGGGTCCAGACAATCGGACGAAGAGAAAGGAAAAAAAAAACCGTTTCCAAGGCAGAAGGAAGCCGCTTCTCCGTACCCGAGATTTCCCTGCTCCCGAAACCCCAAACTCCTTTAAAGTCTCCAGGTCCCCATGGGTGCTGCGGGGCGGCGGGGCGAGCGGTCCGGGCGGCGCGGGGCTGCGGCGCGGCTGTGCCCCGCGCGGGCCGGCGCGGGTGCCCGGAGCCGGCGGATCGGGGCTGGCCGGGGCGCCTGCTCCACCTGCGCGAGCCGGACTCCGCTCTGGGTTCCCTCAGCCCAGCCGGGGACGCTAAGTAGCCGGAGCCGCCGGCTCCAGGGCCCGCCCCGGGACGCCCTCATTGGTGGGGCGCGCGCCCCTGCCCTGTCAGTCTCCGGCGCGGAGGGGCGGGCGCAGGGGCGGTCCCCACCGTGCGCCCCGCCCGCCTCGCCGCCCCGCGCCCCCGCGCGCGCCGCCCCCGGGAGCCGGGCCGGGAGCGTGGGCGAGGAGCGAGCCCCGGGCGCCGCGCGGGCCCCCGCGCCCCCCGGCCGCGTGGAGCCGATGGTCGCTGAGCGCTGCCCGCCCGCGTGTGTGTCCAGGGCGCGCGGAGCTCGGCAGGGACGCCGAGTCCGGGGCGAAGAAACGAACCCCAGGGCACCCCGGACACTGCGGGCCACCCGGGGCCAGGACTCCGGGAACCTCGGTTCTTGGTGGCTCCGGGATCATAATCCTGGGCCCGCAGACCTTTTCCTGCCCCGCCTCGACGCCTATGAAATTGCTCCCACCTCTTTGGGCTCGTCTCCTTCGGCACTTGGGAAGCTGCGGGTCCGCCCCTGGCGCCAGGTTTAAACGGAGCGCGGTGCCAAAAGCGGCTGGCACGTCTGCGTCCTGGGCAAGCCCTTGCCGTGCCCCAACCAGGGAGCTGGCCTCCGGTTTACTGAAAGACACAATAGGGGGTTTGCAAGCCCCGGACCTGCCTTTGCTAAGGGGGTTTTATTTGGGTTTGTTGGAGCAGGGTGCCCGCAGCAACTAATGATTGCTCTTCTGGATGGACAGTTAATGAATGTGCTCTGGGACTCGATGCGGAAAGATGACTTTCATACGTGCGGGCATTTCAAGATCAACAGTTTAAAAAGGGCGTAGTGTTCATCTCTTAAAAAGGGCCAGAGGTTGGTGCTGCTTGCAGGACGGGGGTCCAGTAGCCTTTCTCTGCAGCCTGCTCCCTTTCCCAGGGAGACGTGGGCTCCACCTCTCGTGGCCCCTTGGTAGCTGGTGCAAACTCTGCTAGAAGTGAAATCCTGGAGGGCTGCCCTGGGCAGGACTTTGTATGGGGGGCCTTTGTATGGGGGGCCTTTGTATGGGGGGCTGTTCCGTGGGCTCCACCAGCAGTGACAAAAATGACAGGGGTGACATGGGTTGCCCGCTTGCAGGTGGCGGGGCTTTATGCTGAGAGATTTAAATCATTTAGGTGATTTAATCTTCCTGCCTCTCTCGGGGAGTCATAACACATGAGGGAACTGAGGCCCAGAGTCCAGTGCCGGCGATGCATTCAGAGTTTGTGGGACCCCAGGGCCCGTCTTTAACCAGAGGAAATCTTGTTTCATCAGATGAGAAAGCTGGAGTCCCAGAAAGGCTGCCTGATTGACCCAGGGTTGCATGAGAACCGGCTCATATTATGACCCTTTCTGGTAGTCAATTTTTGAACTGCAAAGTCTCCAATTCAGTTGCTTTCTGGAAAGTCTCTGTCTGTGCCCCACACTCCAAATACAGTGATTTATCAAATTAGATGCTTAGCAAGTATTGCTGGATAAAATGGTTTTCAGACAACCCCTTTGTGCATTTGACCTGCAACAGTCTTTTTGGAAACTGGGCTGCTGTCCATGGACAATTTGTGAGAATGCAGGTGTACAAGTTGCTGACCTTGGACCTGGCCACAGGTTGTGGTGACCTTCTTCATACTTGCTGTGAACAGCAGACAACTTCCTTTGACCCTGAAGTCGAGAACTAAACCAGTGACTTCAGAGATCAAGGAGGGACTTATTGGTCTGGTTATAACCCGGACTTCAGGGACGGGGTATCTGAAGACTTCCTTGTTGCCGTTTGAGAAGAGCACATTGGAACTTGACTTTGCTCAGAACTTGACACTGAACAGCTTTTTTAAAAACAACAGCAACAACAAAAAAACCTCTCTTCATCCCAAGATCAAACTGTGTGCACGTTTACAGCACAATTGCCTGGGTTGCTGTGCCCTGTCCTGTCCTGTTCCGTGCTGCTCCTAAGGACAGAGCAGGCCAGCTGCCCCTGTTTAGAAGTTTCCCAACATGGGCCTCCCCGGTGGCGCAGCGTTTGAGCGGGTTCGATCCCCGGTTGCTCCCCGGCCACCGGAGGAGGGTCCCGCATGGCGCGCAGACCTCTCCTGCCACCCGCTGCTCCCCTCAGCAGTGTCCTTCGGTCCTTCTGCCTGCTCTGCTCCCCGCTCTGACTCTGGTGAATTCTCTCACCCTCCCGTGCTTCTGACTGTACCCAGTGCTTGTATAAACAAACAAACAAACAAATAAATAAATCTTAAACAAAAAAAAGAAGTTTCCCAACATTCTAGAGGAGGATGTAAACATAAAATATTGTCAAGGCTTTGAAAGAAGTGCCAAAAATTCAAACATCTCATATGCAACTTTTGAAATCTCCCTTCCATCCCCTCCCTTGCCAAAGTAAAGTTTTCCCGCAATCTCACGGGGGAGTAAATGCTCCGAGTGCTCCCCCTTGAAATATAAGGCATATATATTTGGGCACACAATGACCTGTCTGCGGCCTGGGAAAGAAGGGAGCTAAACCCAACTGGTGACTGCAGAGCCGGGGGTCACTGATTCTGTCTTCAGCGTCTTTCCCTGCTTCCTCATTTAGCTTCTACTCGATAAGTGGAGCCCCCTCTAACACCAGCCCCTCCACGCGTCTGTTCCTTATCCAGTCTAGTTGGGACTGTCTTTTATGCCACCGCAGGGCCCTGTAAATATTGCCCCTGAGATATGTCAGGGGTGTCAAAGCGCACACCACCTAAAGGGCCTCCTTAGTTGAGTTTCTTCTCTTTCTTCCTCAATAGAAAAAGAACTACTTGGGGCCTCCCTGGTGGTGCAGGGGGTTGAGCACAGCACTGTGAAGCTGCCCATGGCCTCTAATCATGGGTTCAATCCCCAGTCCTCCAGAGAGCTGCCCATGGGGTGCAGCAGACCTCTCCGGTCTCGCCTGCTGCTCCCCTCAGCAGTGTGTTTCAGTCGATCCGCCTCTTCTGGTCCCCACTCTGTGAGGTTTCACTCTGGTGAATCCTCTCACCCTACCCCCAACATCTCTGGCCTGTACCCCAGTTCTTATATGCGTAAATAAAATTTTTTTTTAAAGAACTACTTAAGGAAAGTTCCAGATCTAGTTCAAATCTTAATCCATTTGTTGAGCGTGGGATTTATACACAGGTGACCTCAATGGTTACCCCTTCCAACTCAGTCATGCGAGAACAGCGGGCTCTGTTTTATTTGGTGAGCGATCATGGGATCTTCTTTGTTTCTACTTTCACCCAGCTGAGTGCTTCATCACCTCGCACGTGAACTCAGTCAGCTCCTAGGTGAGAGGGTTGCTATGTGATAGGCAGGGGTCTCCGGATGGTCCCCCAGTGTCCTCAAGGATGATGGAAATGCACTTTCCCAGACTTGAACCCAGGTTTACTGAAACTTAATCTCAGGATTGAGGCTTGGAATCTGCATTGTAAACAGCCTTCCCAAGCGTTCTAGAAACAGCCTCATAATCACTGATCAAGCACTACTCAAATGTAAGCAACTCTTCTTGTTCTCCGGCTACAGTGACAGCCTCGGAAGAACAGGCTACAGTGACAGCCTCGGAAGAACAGGCCCTTACTGGGAATCCTGTTCTCTAAACAGTCTATGGCTAATCTCTAACAGAAACGAGGCTCATTTTAGACTTGCTCCTACTAAGCTGGTAATAAAGGTTTCCATTCAAAGGTAGGTGAAGTCAAGTGGCTTTTTAAAAGTCGTGGAATAACTGTGTGTGGCATTGTGAGAATTTCTCTTTTCTGTTTCAACTCCTGTGCTCCAGTCCACCCTCCTAATAGGCTGTGGTCAGAGCAGAAACCTGAGCCTACAGGGAAACTCTCAACTGCTGCGCGTAAACTTCTCTTTTGTCCATTGATGGGTGAGGAAAATCCTTTGTTTGATGCTACAAAGAATAACTGCTTGGGTGTTGGTTTTGCTTCTGGATTTCCCTTTGATTTCAGTTCCTTTTTCAGCCTCATTCCTGTCAAAGACCAATGTGTCCTGTCTTCTCAATGCCATCTCCTCTTGCCTCCTGAGGACCTCAGACTTTCAGTCTCCTCCAGCCTCCTGAGGGCCTCAGCCTCTCAGTGACTCTCCTCCACCTTATGTGCAACCTGACATTCCATGCACTCCCCTCCAGTTGCATGTAAATACTTCCACCTCACATCTTAAAAACCGCCCCTGACAATCCACCTCCCTTGAGATACATTCTTGTCCTGAGAGAGTTGTCAATACATGACTAACCCCGAACCACGTGCCCAACATCCTCCAGCTCTCACCGAGGGAACCAGGACTCCATTGGCATCAAATCTGATAGATGCTTTCAGGTTATTTCATATTGGACTTGGCAGGACATGAGACACAGCTGAGGGCTTCCTCCTCATCAAGCCAACCTCTTTCTTCCTTCCTTCTATTGTCTCACACTCTCCTGGCTTCCCTTCAGTTTCTGGCTGTTCTTCTGCAATGTTTCACTGACTCATTTCTTTCTACTTGTCCTTTCCATACTGGTTTTCTATAGGACTCTCTTCCAAGATTCTCTTCTCAGTGGGTTCTCCTTGAGTGGACAGTGACTGCTTCTTGGGCTTGCATTGTTTGTGTGGGGGATGGACCTCTCAGGCGCCACTGTTCTCCTGAACTATGGCCCCGAGTACCCAGTGCCCAGGAGCCGTATCTCTGTGTCTGTCCCACAGATGCCATAAGAGCTGCTGCCCCGTGCTGAATTCTTCTCTTGTCTGGAAACCTTCCCTTTTGTCTTTCACTGTGTGGACGGGCCTCCTTGACCTCCTGGTTCTGCAGGGTAGTGCCCAGGCATGGATTAGTTACCCCTTGTCCCTTCTCCTTGGACCCACATAAAACCATCCCAGCTCCTGTTCTGCCTCATCGATATCTTTTTCATCTTTTCACTTTAGCCCACTCCTGCCTTAGTCCTTAGTCCAGCCATGGGAATGCCCCTCTGAGTGGCT